TGGGAATGTAAACTGCCATGGCTGCTGTAGAAAACAGTATGGCAGTTTCTAAAAACATCAAACAGGCCCTGGCCGGTTTGGCTCAGCGGTTAGAGCATCAGCCTGCGGTCCCAAGAGACCCGAGTTCAGTTCCCGTTAAGGACACGTACCTCGGTTGCAGTTTGTCTCTGGCCCTGGTTGGTCGAGCAGGTGGCAGCCACTCGATGTGTTCCTTTCACGTCGAAGTTTCTCTCTCTGTTCCTCTCTCTCCCTCCCACTCTACCTGAACAAAAAATGGGAAAATGTCCTCGGGTGAGGATAAAAAACAAACAAAAAAAACCATCAAACAGAATTACCACATGATCCAGCCATTCCACTTCTGTGTATATACCCAAAAGAACTGAAAGCAAGGGCTGGAACAGGTATGTATACACCAATGTTCAGAGCAGAATTATTCACAATAGCTAAAAGGTGGAAACAACCAAATGTCCATCTACAGATGAATAAACAAAATATGGTACATACATACAATGGAATTATTCATCCTTAAAAAGGAATGAAATTCTGACTCATTCTGCAACATGGATGAAACTTGAAGACATTATGCTAAGTGAAATAAGCCAGAAACAACAACAAAAACACCCACAAATATTGCATGATTCTACTTATATGAAGTACCCCAGGTAGTCAAAACCATAGACAGAAAGTAGAAAAGTGGTTACCAGGGGCTGGGGAAGGTGGTGGGTAGAGAGTTACTGTTTAACAGGTAGAGTTTCAGTTTGGGATGATGAAAAGTTCTGTAGATGAAGAGTGATGATGGTTTCATAACCATGTGAATGTACTTAATACCAATGAACTGTACAATTAAAAAATGGTTAGAGCCCTGGCTGGCTTGGCTCAGCATTCAGAGCATTGGCCTGCAGACCAAAGAATCATGGGTTCGATTGTAGTCAAGGGCACATGCCTCAGTTGTGGTTCGGTCCCCCACCCTAGTCAGGGTCATTCGGGAGTTAGCCAGTCGATGTGTCTCTCTCGCATTTATTTTTTTCTCCCCGTGACCCCACACACTCTATCTAGAGATAAATGGAAAAAAACCCTGGCGTGAGGATTTAAAAAAAAAAGGTTAGAATGGTAAATATTGTGTTGTATATTTTTACCACAATAAAAAAATACTTGTACGTTATCTATATTATCATGGTGGCAGTCTAGGAATGTAGTCAAGAATACAAGCTTGCCCTGGCCGGTTTGGCTCAGCGGTTAGAGTGTCCACCTGTGGTCCGGAGAGACCCCGGTTTGGTTCCCGCTAAAGGCAGATACCTCGGTTGCAGTTTGTCCCCGGCCCTGGTTGGTTGTGCAGGTGACAACTATTCGATGTGTCCCTTTCACATCGATGTTTCTCTTTCTCCCTCTCTCCCTCCCACTCTATCTGAACAAAATATTGAAAAAATGTCCTCGGGTGAGGATAAAAAAAAGAAAACAAGCTTAACACGCTGGTGTGACAATGGATTGAGTGCCGTCCCATGGGCTGAGTGTTCCTGGTTCGGTTGTGGGCTCAATCCCCAGTAGAGGGCGTGCAGGACGCAGCCGACAGATGTTTCTCTCTCACATCCATGTTTCTCTCTCTTAAAAAATCAATAAAAACAGCCTGGCCTATGTAGCTCAGTGGATTGAGTGTTCTCCCATGGACTGAGAGGTCCCGTTGGATTCCAGGTCAGGGCATATGCCCAGGTTGTGGGCTGGATCCCCAGTGGGGGTTGTGCAGGAGGCAGATGATTGATGTTTCTCTCTTACATTGATGTTTCTCTCTCTCTCTCTCAAAAAAATCAATAAAAACATATAAAAAATAGAATACAAGCTTAAGAATTATGCTCTAAAGTTCTACCACTTTATAGTTCTATTCTGTGCATGTTTTCTTAGACAGTAACAGAACCTTCACAGGATTATTGCAAGGATTAAGTAAATTAATATATGTAAAGCATTTAAAACAGTGCATGTCAGCCCTGGCCACTTTGGTTCAGAGATTAGAGTGCTGGACTTCAAACCCAAGGGTCTTGGGTTTGATTCCCAGTCAAGGCCATGTAGCTGGGTTTGATCCCCAACCCAAGTTGGGGTCCTGCAGGAAGCAACCAACCCATGTATCTCTACTACATCGATGTTTCCCTCTTTCCCTCCCTCCCTTCTAGTGTGTCTAAAAATCAATGGAAAAATATCCTTGGGTGAGGATTAACCTAAAACAGTGCATGTCATGCAATAGTCACTTTTTACTATTATGGGTTTAAAATTCATTTTTAATGAGGTTTAAGTCAAACATCTGCAGAAACTCTAAAGGTCCTCCTCAAAATTCCAGAGTTCAATAAAACACAGATTGAAAAACAGTGATCTAATCCAGTGATTTTCAACTGGTGTGTCACAAGAATTTTTAAAACATGCAATACCTGACTATTTAGTCAGGGGCACTGACCTCTTTTCCCTTAAACTATCAAATTAAAAAAAAAAAAAAAGACAACAGCCAACACAACAATAGCCATCCAGTGTGAATAAATCAAAATTATACCTATGTTTTTGTCAGATAGGCAAAAATGTATATATTCTGGGGTGCTGCAGAATTTTAGTAATTATTGTATGTATTCCATGAGATGACAAAGGTTGAAAATCACTGATCTAACCCATATTTTTCATTTTATAGGTAAAAAAATGGAAAGTCCTAGATAAGTGATTTGCCTGAGGTCACATATCTTGTTTCACTAATACTAATTTTCCTAAAATAAGAGTTTAGGGTTAACAAAACTACTGTTGACATTCAACTACTTGAGAACCAAGGCAAAGCTATGAGATTCTTTCTATAACCTGTGTCTAAGAATCTATGAATAGTGTGACAGTCATCCACCATGCTAATCTAATAATTACACGAGTGGAAACCAAAGGTAGCAAAACCAAAAGTAAAGCCATTTTTGTTATCTTCAAAGACAAAGGTTAAAAACACCTCTGTGGAAAATAAGTGTTAAAGTATTTGTGAAAACAAATAATACGGATCAAGAATCTGAGACACATTCAATATGTGCCCACTACTCCACTCTTTTCAGCCAGCTACTTCATATATAATCTTAGTGAGACCTTTGAATCTGAAAAATCAGATGTTTCTTCTACCAAATAGAGAAATTATCTACAAATAATTATTTATTAAATCCAAACAGAAGAGAGCAGCAGTCCAAATAACACAAAATGTTTAATCCAAAAAATCATGTATTAACCTTTGTAGACATTTCTCTCTCTACTTACTTGAATAGGCTAGATCTGGTTTCTGGGAAATTCACAACATAAAAAGCAAAATAACAGACACAATCTTTGAAGGTTAGACTCAACAAGAGCTAAAAAGCTTTTGAAAATGTTTTGCCCTTCCCCCACTGATCTTCCTCCACAAATCGACTCTCAAGAATAGCACCACCTCTACTAGGAATGCCCCCCACCCCAATCCACATCAGCTGAAATCCTACCCATTCTTAAAGGTGCCACTAAAATGCCTAAACTCTCCTTAATTCCCCCCTGCAAATGCTCCCAATCTTGAATTAAGCTCTTTCCTTTACCCCCCTATTTTGCACCTCTACTTCAACATTTTATTATATAATTCACTACATTACAATGACCTACCCTCACTTCTTCTCCCACCTTCCCCTAAGAAAATCCCAAAAGCAGTAGGTGAGGGAAGAAAGAAAGAAACATTTGTTAAAACCTCAATGCCAAGCAAGGTGCTAGGCATTTTGTACACCGTATCTCATTGAATCTGTATGGTAAGCAGGTGGTGTTACTCCCATATTACTGATAGCGAACGTACTGTTGAGAGCCCAATAGCTTATCCGACGTCACACTGCTAAACCAATTACAATGCTTTATGGAACCGCTGGTTTCCCCGGCTTCAAAGAGCTCTTTCCACCACTGTACGCTGCAGGTCTTGTTCGCTTGTGTCCCCCACCTTGCCTAACAGATAGATCTTTCACAAATATTTGCTGAATTTAATATTCCTATGGACTCAGTACCACCCGTTTAATAACCCGGTTATACCTAGCCCGTTACCTTCATTGTCTCTTGACAGTGGACTTTATGTCACAAATACAGACAGCTCTCCACATTTCCCAGATAAATGCTGCAGACATCAACCCTTACTAGGAGGCTAAATAAAAACCTTCCAACTCTCCCAGATTTCCCCAACTGTTCTTCCCAGAGAATGTAAGCAATGCACACACACAAGACACATTTGATGTAACGCTTACACTCTCCCAAAAAGCTCTATTTCATACCAAGCCACGTCTTCGTGCTTATCAGCAATAAGGCTTATGCGGCTTCCAGCTCCCACTGTGAAGACTCCCTAAGACGCTGTCTGAATAAGAAAACCACATCTTTCAAACCATCTTAAAACGAGGGCATCCTAACACTATCACACTGCCCCCCCTCCCCCGTCCACTCCCCATGAATTGCAATTTGTATTTCCGGCGGGAATGTACACAAATACAGAGAGGTGAGATGGGGCTCAAAAGCAATGGAGTAAGTACTTAGCCTGCTTAATTAGAAAGAAGGTGCCCCGCCTTTTAAAATCTCTGCACTGAACTCCAATACGAAAGATGGGGGGTGGGGACACTGAAACCCAGACATCAAACACTGCTTTCTGCAGCTGGTCGGGGGAGAGTCCTTTCCTCCCCGCGGTCCCGGGCCACCAGCTCCCGGTGCCGCTCGGAGAAACCCAACCGCACCCTTGCCAGGCGACCCTATAACTCATTGTCTCCCTCCAACGCGGTCCCCAGGGGCGCAGGAAGCAGCCCAGGCTCCGCCGACTCCCACCCATCGGCCGGCCGCCTCGCCCGGCATGGTCCATCCAGCCTCGGCCGCGACCCCGCCCCGGGTTCGGCCGTCGCACCGCGCCTGGATGGCGGGGCGGGCGCCGGGAAAATGGAGGCGGGAGTGGCGGCAGTGCCTCCCAGTCCCGGCTGGTTCCCTCCGCCAGCCCGAGGGCGCAGCTGGGCACTCACCGCGACAGCTGCTCGGTGGTCCGACGTCCCCGACTACCGTGGCGGCCCCGGGCTGGGCAGCGCTCCTCCAGCCGCCTCCTCCTCCCCAGGCGCGGCGCTCCCTCTCGAAAGACGCTGCGAGCGCCCGCAGCTCCCGCGCCGCGCGCACCGTGACTGACTGACTGACTGACCGGGCGGCGGCCGCGGGGGCGGGGCGGGAGCGCGCAGCGGGCGGGGCGGCCACAGCGCCCAGGCGCCGCGGATCCGAGTGCGGCCGCGTCCGGCCGAGACGCAAAAGGAGGGGCTGAGGGCCCGGCGGCCCACAGGCGGACCGACTCGCGCCCCGCCGCTCGCTGCCCCCGCCCGCCGCCAACCACTCACTTCCGGCGCAGGCGGCCGCGCCCGCCCCTCCCAGGCGCCGGCCCGCAGCACGCGCCCCCCACCCGTGTCCCTCGCCCCGCCTGCTCACCTTCCCCTCCGGCGCTGGACCGCACCCAGCCGGGGCTGTCCTCCGTGCTCCGCCTTTCCCCCCTGCGTCCTGGTGAACCACCTCAGGAACCTGTGAATCAGAGAATGAATGAGCGAGGAAGGAAAATCCCGGCGCTGTCCCACTCCCTGCTCGCCTTTCCTTGGAAGCAGGCCCAGCGGCCTCTGTCCGAGGCCCTGGGACACACTGAGGCATTGAGAGGGTCAGCCCAGACCTCCATGCGTGCACCTTTATGCAGGCGTATTCAAGGGCTCCAGCAGCACATCACACACTGTCTTAGGCCCTTAAAGGACCGTTGTCCTCGCAGTCTGTGAGGTCTTTTTTAAAAGGAAATCCTTCCATTTTGGCCAACAACTCTTTGCAGTTGCATACGCTATATTGGGAAGCTTTTAAAAATTGGACATGTCAGTTATCTTGAAATACTTTTTAACTTTGAAATGTGCTTATCTTGCATTCTTAATAGCTGCCGCCCTTTATTGAAATTGTATAGGAGTAAGGTGTTGGCATGTTTCCTTACCACCAAGCTCTAAATTACTCAGATACTACTGATTTTGATACAGGCTTGACTCTTTAAATCTAATTTATATCTTTATTTTGACCTCCTAAAGTTGATCAAAGGAAGAAAAAGAATCAAATCATTTTTGCCCGGTGACATGAAAAGCAAGTTTGTTGACAGCATTAAAACAATGGAAAAGTCTGGGGTGTGATCTGGAATTCGTTGCAGTAAATACTCCTTTTTTACATCTTCTCATCTGCTTGCTAAGTAAAAGTATCTGTATCTTGCATTTTCACAATAAATAAGTGATTGCACATTTCTGAGATCTTGGCTCATTTTGTACTAACCAGGGTGTTAAATTCTCTGTCCTGGGGCCAAATCCTAGTTTGTCTAATTACATTCCTTTTTTCTGATATCCTTAAGGACTTTCAAGTGATTTTGGTCTTTTTTGCACAATCTGTCCCAAACTGGTACACAATCTGTTTCAAAATGGTATTCAGAACCACACAATACAGTCACAAGCTGCATTTCACACTTGAGCTCTCTGTACTTTAGAAACATAACTGCATTTTCGTATTTTAAGTTCATTAGTGCTCTAATATTCTTGTGCAGAATAATGTTATCTCTTATAAATGAAGGTGGTGTTGCTGACCAATTCCTATAGCCTCTGTTCCTTTCTTGTGGAATTCATCATTCATTACCTCTGCCTATAATGATTTCAGTAAGTTATGATCTTCCCCAATAAATGTAATACAACAATGTATTCATCTTTATATCTTCCAGAATATCTAGCATAGTCCCTTGCACAATAAATATCTTTAAATTAATAAATGGAAATATTTTGATAAGTTACAATTTATACAAATCTGCCTACAGCCTTTCACCTCATTTCCCTATGACAAGGTTTGTTGAGATTAGACACACCTGAGTGCCATACTTAATAAATCCCTATTGTCATCAAATGCTATTACTAGGCTGTGATACTACTGTACAAGGAAGTATCACTTCTTCTAAATCTCCTTTAAAAATAGAGCATTGAATGTTTTTTAGACAGCTCTTAGCCAATTCTCTCTCCTCCCAGTGCTTAGGTTGGTCAAAGCTAATAAGAAAAGGAAACAAAGCAACTTCTAGCCATTGAGAAAAGTAAGCAGATTTTCATTTGTTCCTTCAAACCATGAAATTATGCACTCATTCCACAAGGGGTTATTGATCTCTAACTAAGACCTAGAAATACAAAGATAAGAAAGACATCATGACAAGGTGGTTCCTGCCCTCAAAAAGCATATGGTCTAGTGGGTAAAGGAGGCAAGGAAATCACTTTTAGAATGTGGAGTCCATTCCATTGGAACATGAAATGCTCTTTCTAACGGAACATCTCACAAGATATGCTTTCACCATAATACACTTTGGGAGATGCTGACCTAAGCCAAATTTTTGGTTTATAGTAGTGAAAACTATAGCCTCTAGAGATGAAGTGACTTACCTAAAATTAAATAGCTACTCTTGGAAGATAGTGGAGTAGAATCTGTATCTTCTGACCCCACTCACATGCTCTTTCCACTACATAATGCTATATGAACTATAAACTCATTCTAGCTCCATCAGCCAATCACAGGGAGAAAAATAGTATAAAACAATTATGGGATATATTCTTTTAAATGAAGTTTCAAATCAGTAACTTTTAAAGGTATGCAAATTTTTAATGATTACTACTTTACATAAATTTAAAAGATTTGTACATTGGAAAAGTGGGACCAGTTATTACCTTAGTATGATCTTTTGATAACTGAGCAGGAGTCTTGTAGAATTAAATTACCTCACTGACTAAAACATCCATCTAGTCACCCTAGTCCTGAGGTAGCTTTAAATAAAACAAACTTTCAGGAATGGATAGAAACATTAAAACTCTCCCCAGAAATATTAGTATTGATTTTCCACCCCTTCATAAGGAAGGAAAGGACTATGAAAATCCACACCAGATTTTGACTTCATCTCTGGCACAAGTCCCCTGATTCTGAATACTCCAGTAGCTAATGGATGGGAAGGTTTCATATCCTAAATTCATAGTACTATTCCCCAGAGGAGAAGTTTTTAGTATTTCCTATTCTTAGAAAAATGAGACAAATTGTTTGTTCCCAAGAGACTTCTTAGGCTAAACTACAGCTTTCATTTCTATACACATTACCTTTGAAACTAGTTATCGCTGTCTTAATTTATGACTCAGTAATTTTGTTTTATTTCTAAATGCTGTATTCATTTTCAGCAGGCAGACCAAAGACCATCACATGTAATATAAATATGTTGAGTGAATGAATAATTATTAACTTAAAAAATCAGTAGTCATAAATAGTGGAAAGAACTCTACTTAATCAATTTGTCAAAACTCTTTCTTTAGTGTCCACTGTGTTCCCAGCTCTGTTGAATTACTTAAGGAATATGATAGAAATACAAGTAATAGTCTCTAATTATTAAAAATGACCCCACCCATGTATTGACAAGGAGGGAAAAAAACACACTCTCATATTTTGCAGGTGGGAATATAAATCATTACAACCTTTTTCTGGAGTACAATTTATCAATAGACATTAAAATACCTTAAAATGTTCATATCTTTGATCAAGCAATTTCTCTTCTATTAATTTATTTCAAGGAGTAAGAACAAAACATTAGCTAGGATGATGGCAAATAACTGGAAATCCCCTAAATATCCAGCAATGAGATTAAGAAAATGATAATTTTTAGAAAAAGTTTTTTAATTTGAAAAGATATTCAAAATATGTTAATCAATTAAAAAATGCAAACATTATATACAATATGAACTCATGAAAAAGCATTATATAAGAAAATCTAGAAAAAATACAACAAGAAAACAAAAATGTTTATTGCAGAGTGGTGTGATTATGGTGTTCTTTAATTTCTTTATTTTTAAATGGTGATTTTTGTATTCTTTAATTGGTAATTACCATGACTGAACTAAATCAATAGTATGAAGTTAAATAAGTCTCTAAAACAATGTTGAGGAAAACAATACTCAAAGCATATATTATTAATACAAAAAATAAAGTTAATTTTAATTGGATCTCTGCATTCAAGAAACTGTTGATGAGTGAAGATCATGGAATAATTAGAGAACAACTAACTGCTCAGCTCTGATATGGACTGTAAGTGCAATAGGAGTTAACTGAAGAGAGAAATTGACTAGAGTTGGAGCAGGTTAACAGGACAGGACAAGGTCTCTTGGGACAATTTGTCTCATTTCATGAGTTCATGAAAGAAGTGAAAGTTAGCTGTCACTTAGCATCTGAATGCCATGGAGAGAAACAGAGTCAGGGGCAGTAATATCAGGTCAGGCAACTGCCTGGCTTGGCCCATCCTACACATATCTCACCCCTCCTGGTTGAACCTTAACAACTGCAGAACACTTGATCTTTGACGATAAACGTATTTCTGCTTCTTTCACACAAGTGGGATTTACAAGCCCTGTGTATTATAAATATGCAGTAAATAGAGCATTACATGTTCTTCGTAATATATTTTTTAAGTGACAGCAGATGTTTTTTGCCAGTAAGCCTTTTGGGGACTTTTTTTTTTCTAAATCTGTAGAACTGGACATCTCCAGATATTGACTTAGAACAAACACCAACTATTATGCAAGAGCAGTTATCACAGTCTGTACCCTTGTGAGCGTTCTGACATTCACAACCAGACCACAAAGGAATTTAACCAATCAGAACTCAGCAATTCTCTGATTACATACATATTACAGAGTGTTATTTTTAAGTCAGCTTTTGAGCTCAATAACTATGCATACTAAGTGAAAGAGTGAATGACTTGTGTTCAGTGCCAAATAATAAACTAAAGAGGTTATGTCCGTCTCAAAAATGTCTGCAGTAGGAATGAACTGGGCAGAATATGAACTTCCATCAAGTATTCCTTCAGTATGGTATATTGCCAGGTCTGGGGGGATGGTGTAGCAAATGTATCTAGCAGAAAGTAACAGGTTATTTTTAGTAAACAATGGGGGAAATGGTTTTAAAGAAGGCTAAAGAGGTCTGTCGAGGAATAGTGGAAAAAAAGATAGATTA